TCTTTCTTTAAAAAATGTTTAGGCTCAATAATCTACACTATACGATGTTGTCAACTGTAGTAAATAAGTGGCGTAGGTAAGGGTGCGAGGGGGTGGTCCGCCCCGGGCGCCAATTTTTGTCTTTATATGGAGGTTTAGCATTTTCGGCCAACTAAAGAATTTTGTTTTCTTGCTGAGGGTTCGTCTAAAATCGTGGCCTACAGTAGGCAGCGACGACCCCAGCTACGTCACTGAGTAGGTAAAATGAACACAGTCGATGATTCTTATGTGAATTATGCATAACTCTATCCCTGAAGCGTTTTGCTATTAAGCGCAATTAAAGTTAAATTACAAATCATAACGTGTCCATTTCTGATCTACACGTCATAGTTATTCTATCATTTCATTTCTGATTTGATGTGAACCGTGGGAGCAGGGGCGTCATTTCAGGATTTTCAGGGGATTGGGTGGGGGGGGGGTATAAAACCAAAACTTGCTCGGCTTGTTAAGCTGTTTATTACAGTATATAGCAATTTAGTATAAAATCTGCAAATTCATGCGGGGGGGGGGGGCGCAAATGCCCCACCCTGCGCTACTCAAATGACTCAAATGCGTGGGAGTGGGGGCTTTGGAACTTTTACGTGTAACTTAAATATGTAAAACAAAATACCCCTATGCTTGGCAGTAGGATAAAATTAAATATGGTAAAAGATCAATATGAAATCAATAACTTTTATAGACATCCCGAAAAAAAACACACATCTTACCGTCATACTTACTTATGGTCTGGGCGCAGATAAAGTTCTGTTGAGTAAATTTGTCTCCATTTACATTTGTGACAGAAGGGTGCGAAAACAAAATAATTTAAAAACCAACACTACGCTTCGTGTCGCTGACAGAATTCAAAGGAATTAGCAGCAAGACTCTTAAACCCATCACACCATATGAGTTTATAACATTATAAAAAAAAATAAAATCATATTCAGACATTAAAACAATAAAATACTTTCAATTTAGTGAAACATATGCCTCTACCTTTTTTCTTCTTCTCACTATCCTGATGTTGAGGTTGTGTGTGTTTGTGTGTGTGTCAGGCAACGCTCTCTAACATTCTCTGCACCCACTTCTGGTGAGTTCGAGATAATAATATGTGAGCAGACGATAACACAATCTAAGTTTTCATTCGTTAAATGTCACGTGACAAATGATAATATATATATATATATATATATATATATATATATATATATATATATATATATACACACACACAACCCACTATTAAGGATTTGTTCCGGGTTGATATGCTTTAAGAACTTTTTTTTTTAAAATTCAAATAAAACATTATTTTAAAATCAATGCACCCGCCATATGACGCATCGCTTAACAAAATAAAAAAATAAAAATCAACAAATGGACTTCACCTTTCTTTGTCATGTACTACACACAACTGATTTGTTTAATTAAAAAAAGCTTCACCTTCATACAGCGCCATTAAACACCAGCAAATATTATGTCTGGTATTGATCTTTTGCATCGCCATTAATAGAAGTAAACAGTCTAAGATAGGATTTTTTGCCTTTTGTTCAATCGCATGTTATACTGTCGACAATTTTGCGCTTTGTGCGCGCATTCGGTTATTTTGAACAGAAAATACTGATCTCTTTTCCATTTGCTTAGCTGGGGCTAGTGTGCTGCTGGGGCTAGTGTGCCGCCGGGAAAAAAAACAACAACAAAAAACCCCTCAACAGTTGGCCGAAAATGCCGCCACTCCATATTAAGAAAAAGTACCTCCCGAGGTGGACTGCCCCTCTCCGTAACCACCCCCCCCCCCCCCCCCCCCTTTTCCTACATCACCGCTCCAGGCCACACGAGCGAGAGCCTCAATATTTTATTCACTTCCCAGATTATGCCTCTTGATGTGTGTGTGTTGTTCGACAGTCGGTAGTCGATCATGACCATTTTAATCATCAGAGTTTGTGCTAGTTGTGTCTGTGGATGCGCAGATGGCTAATGAGGCCGATTCTGGCACGAACATTTTCTTGTGCAGTAGGTGCAGGGGAATGATGGCGCATCTCCGGCAACAGAGTCAGACCGGGCCTTCCTTGCATGTCTCTTGCGCTGTGCAGCTGCTGTTCTGCAAACTTCATGTTGCATTGAGCTCCTGTGTAAAGTAGAACGCCATGAAATTCGATCCTTTGCTTTTTCACCTCTTGATACATATACACGGGTCACCTTTGATTCCCATAGTTCAGTCTGGGCGATTATGAAGTTTACAATCCCGTTCAATTTTGAAAATTATAATTTTAGCATGACCGTCTTATTTTCGTTGCTTGTTAGAAATAAAAGTAGTTCATTATTTGACAATCAACTTGGTCGTGGCAATCAACTTAGCCATGACAATCAACTTAGTCCAACCTTAGCCATGACAATCAAATTAGCCATGACTATGAACTCAGCCGTGGCAATCAACTTAGCAGTGGAAATCAACGTAGTCTAGCTCTGTAACACATCATAATATGAAGATTTACTTCACTGAGTACCCGGTACAGAAATTAAGAACTATTCACACGGCCAGCCGATAACCATTAATTGAGTGCTTACCCGAAAAACAAAAGAAGACCATTATTATTCGACCACATTGGTTTCAATTTCTAAAGTTTCCTATCTATTCTATTAAATTATCTGCATTAAGTTCCATCATTTGGGAAATATGAACTGACTTTGTAACAAAAACAACATATACATATATTGGTTATTTAGTACCGAGATTGGAAATAAGAATAAGCCATAGGTTCCACACATTTTAGTATGCACAGTTTTTAGGGAGATATTGTTCCAGTGGGCGAATGTTTGACTCCAGACTTCTGAAAACGAATGTGCTTCAGCCTGGAACAAACCTATTTTTCAACGAAAGGTGATGGAAGGATACACTGCCAATTTTTTTTTTTTTACCGGCAAGGAACTTTTGCATTGACATCAGAACGTTTTTGAAGCGCATTTTAATTGTTTCCTGCCATAACTCGAAGGTTAATAGCGTCTTTCGTCAACAGTCAAAACGTAATTTGAAATAATTTTTTTTCTAATAAATGGCAACAAATACGGCCCCTTTTCCAATACCGGTAGTTCAAATAGTTCAATCATCTGGATGGAAAAAAAATATACGCCATCTCTGTAGTCTTTGAAAAGATAAGTTACTTTACTATAAAAAAACACTGTTGGGTGATTTGTGTAGACTCGAAAATGATTTTTCCCTCTGGTTTAGAAAGTGGCCGGAAGCGTATCCTTTGATTTCCACAGAGTTTTGGGAAACTTTAAATTTGACGAGAAAAGACTAGACTTTCATGGAAATTGTGATGGCAACAGGAAAAATGTCAACAGTTTAGTAACATAAGATATAATGACTCTATTTCAAATACATATAATTCTATGACTGTAAGATGAAAGGGTTAGTAAATTCTTTGAATAAAGCATTCATTGCTAATCGTCTTGGCCTTACTGAAACCTGGAATTTCGATGGTCCACAGATCATAAAATGCATCCAGTGGCAGCCAGATAAAAAATTAGACTTTTGTTGTTTTGACATATAATACGCACATTTTCTTTCAAATTAATTAATATCACAACTACAGCTGCCATTTTTTGGCATCAGCATGACAAATATACCTTGAAAAAAAGTCTAACATTTAGGGTACCAAATATATAAAATATATTTAAAATAACATTTCCATTTAATATGATAGAACATGACATCTATCAAACCTGGTGCAATCTACTAACTAACTCTGTATTTTTTTGTCAGGAGTCTAAAACAACTAAACCTCAAGTGTTTGAGACTTGTTAACCTTGGAAGGCAACTCATCTAAGAGAAGGACACTCTGAATTCAAATCAGGAGATGGAGTCCCGTAGGCGGTTAACACTGGCACGATGAAACATTACGACAATTCCTGCGACGCCACTGGTGGCAAGCTGTATCATCCACATGATGTTCCCTTGGGTTATCCAGCGGCGTGGAGAGAGGCAATTTGCTGTGTGGGACCCAGCTTATAATCCAAAAAAAAAAAAAAGAAAGAATAATCCCAGGCCTTTTGGATTTCGTCCTGCGAAGTCTACAGCAATATAACATTTTGACGGACGGATGCTAGAAAAAAACAACAAAAAAAACTAGCTAATGACTTTAATAGATTGCTTCTTTGATAAGTACTTCTGGGACTTTATCATAAGGTGCCGTGGGAAACCCTGGATTGATCTAGGGAAAATGGAATTGAAATACTTCGAACTGGGATCACTGGTAAAAACTTCAAAAGAGGCAGCCATACACAATGAAATTTAAAAGTTGTTGGTGCATCTTTTTGAGGGCGAATCGTAAATTTCCAAGCCTCATTTTTTTACATGGAAAACACAGAATTATAGACTAGGAATATTTACCGAACAAAATTTGAACGCATTTTCATGCTCTAATGTCTGATGGCTTATCAAAGTTTAAATGAAAAAAAAAGACATCCTCCTATGACCATGTAATGAATAAAGTTAGTAATTTACAACAGGCCTTGATTAAAAGTTCTAACTATAATTTTAAAGGAACCTAAATTTGTATTTTATTGTAAAGGACAAAAAATTAATTGCAATGGTATCTCTAAAGCTTACTCTAATTGAATATTGAAATAGGAAACGATATAAATAAATTAAAATTTCTTTTAAAATTGGAAGAGATAAATATAAAAATTAAAATTTTGTTATGGTGCTCATTTGATTTTTTTTAAAATTAATTTTTTTTTACAGTTTTATTGCATAAAATTAATTTTAAAAAAGTAGGCCTACTGGTAAAATTTTGAGACTTCAAAGACAGGCAATGCTGTACTTTTTTTACATTGTACCTATTTACCTATTTACGTATAACCTTCATGGCAAAGTTTTGTTAATGTGACATACATTAAAATACAAAATCTGATATTAAAAAAAAAAAATGTCTTGTAATTTAATTTAGATTCAGAGAGGGACTCAATTACTGCACAGAGAGTAAATTAATAAATAGCTTCAAGTTTATTAATTGATCAGATTAATCTATCAAAGATGTTAAATAAAGGAAACCTTTGTAGTACAAAAGAAAAAACTTTTGAAAGACTTTAATAAGCTTAAGCTGGCTGAAATTATAGTAATAAAATAGTAACTGTATGTTAAACACACATAAAATCAACAAATATGAATGTAGAGAAATCACACTATTTTATTTTAAACTTCATCTTTTCGGCATCTTCCTGCAGCTGCTTCTCCTTTTCAAAATTCGTCAGACTCCTGGCATTTCTCGACTCTCCCGAATGACCTTTGTACTTTCGACTATATTTTAAACTGGTGACTATGGTGGGGCGGCCGGGGAAGGCGGTCTTCCCATCAAAGAAAGTATCAGTCTCAGGGTCAAACCTGATCGGCTCCAACTGGATATGCACATTCTTCGGCAGGTTCAGCTTGGCCATGTCCTCGTAAGTGGAGCTGTCGTGTACGGGGGTGGAGAAGAACCTGACCACATCATCTAGCGTGTTCATGGTGCTGAGCTCCGTGTTGGGGATCGGATGGTCCAGCTCTGTCATCAGTTTAGTTAAAAGCTGAAACATAAAAACATCGCAACAAATTCTCTCATATGTTCAAACACTATTTTTGCTTTAAAATTAATTGATAGAAATTCAGCATCAAAATTTAGTGGTCACTTTTTGTCAGTAATGTAACTGAAGGAGCTGACGTTTAATCTCTTGAAATGTTCACTATTAATATTGTTTGGTCAGTTGTTAAAATAAAAATGAATATGATATTGGCTGTAATAAATTTTAACACTGTTTCTAAACCAATGGTCTAAGATAAGATAAGATTTTTGTATTTATTGATCTGATTAAATGAAAATGTGTTTTTATGACATTGCCCATCTTCTGTTAAAAATAGAAACATTTTAAACATAAGCCATTTAAAGTATTTCTCAAGCCATTGTCTACCACAAACATGTGCCAGAGACGTCGAGAATGGGATGGAATCTCATCAACTAGCTTACTTTGATCTCAGCTTGCAATAATGTGGCAGCATTTTCAGGCAAACTCGTCTATCTATACACTGAGTCTACTGGTGGACCAAAGGCTCATCACGAGCCAGGAGAATAAAATTTGGGGGTGGGTTGTGTGTGTGTGTGTCCCCACAGTGAATTTCCATTGTTTTCAACAATTTTAAATTTAAATAAGGGCAGGATAAATTCCATTTTTCTTCAGCTACGGTTGAGTTTTCATGTTGTTATCCTTAACAATGAGAACCCTGTAACTTGTTTTTCCATCTTCTAATCATGCACATGTCTTTATGAAATGATCCAGAAAGAACAGATATTTGGCTCAAATGACAAACATAAATGTTCCAGAAGTCCATCAATATTAACATATCAGTAATTATTATTAACAAATGTTAGTGTATTATAACAATCCTGTAAGACTCTAAGAAGTGAATGAAACCGCTCACCTGAAATTTGATCAGTCTGTCACTGAGGTTATAACTTGGTTCCACTTGCTTTCCTATGATCACATTGGCTGTGGTGAGGACTTTGTTCTCAACATCATGAGGAGGCTTGTAGCCCCTGATGCTGCAGGATACTCTGTAGTTAAGAAAATGTAGTTGGGGTATGAATCAGGATAAACACTATCTAAAAAATTCCTGGATGCTTGTGATAACCCTTGATTGAAATATAAAATTGGGGTTTAAAACAGTCATACATTCCACGATAGTTTTGATAAAAATATTTTAATATAAATGTGATATCTAAATTATTTCTTTTGTTAACTGCATAATTGCGCAGCTCCTTTCAGATTGGAGTAGACCAACAAAAAAAAGGACTTTGGTACATTTTGCTTAAATGGGGCACCTTGCCAGTTTCGTCGGGACATATTGTCACTGATGGAGATACAGGAGCAATCAGCATTCATTAGCAAACTAGAGTTTTAAGTTTTTATGGGGACACCCAAGTGGGTTCACTAGAAAAGTAAACATCTATTTTTAAATGAAACACTTCACCACATTTGTTTATTTTTTTTTTTTAAATTTCTTTAAAACTGCAACACTTTGTAAATGTTAAATCAAGCATTACAGACACACACAAAAAAGAAAAATCAGCAACGCTCTTTATAATGACTTACGTTTTCTTTTTGAGTGATTCTAACCGAGACACCGTGGTTGGTCCATCCAATGGGGTCATCCTACGAGTTTCAATCTCTTGGCCTTCTGTTCCTTTCGACTTTTTGAAAAAACCTGTCCATGAAGCCTTGTATTAAAAAAAAAAATATTAATAAAATAAACAGTTAACAATTCAAAAATAAAACATACTAATCACATTTTAAAGTTAAAGCAAGGCTGGAATTCTAATACCGGTACTACATGTAAAGATCTGATTACTGAGACGCTAACAAAGTTTTGTTAATAAAACAATATGGGTTCAGCTTTGTAACAGACCAAGTTGGCTGTGATTTTACAAACGACCCCAATATTCATCCTTACGACAGGATGGCGTAGTAGTTTTATCATAACGTTGTGAATCACGAGAAAGCGGGAACTATTTTTTTATAGCGGAGATATAATACACGAATAGAGTAAAAAGGGTGTGCACGATTGTTTCTTGGAGATGTCGGACATGTTGAATTTTTTTCGTATGGATTATAAAAGTATTTTTCTGATTGAATAATGTAGAATGTGTATTTATTCATTGCATCCTATCATTGTCACTAAAATATACTCATAGCAAGATTTATTATTCAACTCATCTATTTTATGTAATAAAGTACTGTATAAATTATTCATTGGACGTTGCCACCTAATTGGTGAGAGAGAGAACAGATAAGTTTGGGGGGTGAATGAATCAATTACTCAAGTGATAACGGCAGGCCATCCACTGCAGAAATAGTTAACCATGTTATTGCAATATCGGCAATATAACATGTGTTACAAGCCTTAACAATGATAACACAGAATACAAATGTAAACATTTCGGGAAATACCTTCATCAGCAAAAAACAAAAAAAAACACCATTCATATAAGTTAAATTTATATAATATATATGTATTATGTAAATTTAACCGATAGTTATGAAATAATAATTCTTTGCCTTTTCATTCGACCCCAATACTAGAAATTCCTGGGTAAATATAAGGCAAAGTTTTTGAAGGAGAGATTGTGGGATTCGTCAACTAGACAAAGAAGTCTATAGAGCAGTCTACCCAGAAAATAACACAGGCAGAACATCCTCATTATCTTTTAAGCATGCTCTGATATCCTCTTATTCTTAATTAATATTAGTCTTACGGCTTATTTTTTTATTTTTGCAATTGATTATTTCTTGCATTCAATTTTATGGTTTAAAAAGACTTACCCTTTTGTAAATATTAGCATTGGTTTAAAATATAACTTAAGCATATTTGATAAAAATAAAATTTTTTAAAAACTTTTTGTCTCTAAAAGCAATAATTTTTCAAAATTTTCATTTTAGGATGTCTGAACTCAGTCAAATAAAATTATCAAAAAAAAAAAATTCTTTATGTTACCGGTATGTAAAGTTTGTGTTGTCCATTTTATTGTCATTCTTCTCACTTTAAAAAAAAACAACAACTAATTCCTCACTTTTTCCCAACTGAAAAAAGAAAGGTCATGACTAGATAAAAATGCGATTTTATGGACATTATTGTGACAGATACTATCAAGCTTGTGCCTTGAAAAGATGGTCTAATTAATAATGACATTACAACATTTACAATGCTGGTACAGCTTTTGCAAAATAATGACAGCAATGATAAAATATAAAAACTTACAATAATGCAATATACTAATAATATTCTTACCAACCATTTTTTCCAATCCCAGGACTCTAATACAGTAATGCATTTAAAAGACATTTAAACAAGAATTTTTAAATTTGAGCTTTAAAAACTCGGTAGAGTCCATATTATTAACGATCAGAATTGACTGTGTGCAAAATGTCATGGGAAACCATTCTCAGCCATTTGCATTACTGAATTATAAAAAATATAAAGTCATTTATTTCATAATTCAGTGTATGTCTTTTAATTGTGTGGAAGCGGGGAAAAAAAAAAGGTAGGTAGTGATAGAGAGACAGTGGCAATTAAAAAAAAAAGGGGGGGGGGGGGGGTTGGAAATGCTAAATGAAATACCTATATGAGAATAAGATAATTCCAAATATGTAAACACAAAAATAAATACAAAAAGATGAAAAATATGTTAGAAATTCAATGTTTTATGGAGGATGATTAATTTTAAGGGAAGATACTATTTAAAAGTTCCCTAAAAACTTCATCTTGTCCTCAATTTAAACATTAATCTTAGTGAGTTGTTGCCACTTTTCTCTTGCCCTTACTTATTGCATTTGCTTTAGAAAGATGAGGAAAGCTTTGCAAAGTCTCAGCTTTCTCTGCAGTCTTGTCTGCATCTTCTCTCAAAATTACAATGACGTTCTTCAGCTTCTGTTTTTTTTTTACATTTTAATCCATCTATATCAGTCTCTGCCAACTTTCTTTTTGAAGACGTTTGCTTCTGCTTTCCTCAGTTCTTTTACCCATTGTAAAGCTGTCTACCTTGTTGAGCGGCAGTCCAAAGTTCTTTTGTCACGAAAATGTTAACAAGGCCTCCCACATGTTCAATATGGTCTTTTATAATCCGTTTGCTACCTAAAACCTTCTGGGATATGTTTGTTTGACTGACATCGCGGGTCAAAGAAAATCCACGATCAACAGTTGCTTGTCTGTGTCACAGAAGCAATAAAATATTACAATAGGCCATAGCTTTGAAAACTTTTTTTTTGCATTTATCAATGAATGATATCGACAATCAAGTCTTCCTTCAGCTTTATAACATGTTGATATTTCATTGGAATACTTTAACACCCCAAGAGTCTCTAAATACAGAAAGAATTTCATCCCAATCATTTAAATACATTCTTTTAAGAGAAACTAAAATGTTCAGGGCATGTCTAAAACTAGTCAAGTTATAGTCAATATCTCTGTTTTGAATTAGTTCTGGGTCTAGGCAACTCATGTGTCTTACTAAATTGTAATTTAGTGGAGTCTTTTCTGTAAGTTTTTCAACCAGAATTGCAATCTTCTCTCTGCAATGTAATTTTGATTCCAAAATGCCTTTGTCGCTAATTAATTTCTTTACTCTTGCTTCCTTGAGAAGCCCCTCGGCAACAAAACCAATCTCTATTTCTGAATGAATTTTTGATTCTTTATCTGATTTTCTTTAAACTTTTAGTAATTTTCCTATAGTATTCACCTCCTCAAGTGTTTTGGGTTTAATGAAATGAGACATAACCACTCTTAAAATTTTTTCTAAATCTTTTACCATGAAAGGCAACATTGGTTTGTCACTTGGGTATACTTAGCAAATATTTAATTATTACCATTATTTACATAAAAATATTTGATACCGGTAATTTATGTTTTAGAATGAACTTAAATAATATTGAAAGAATAATATTTTTATTTGAGATATAAAAAAAAAGCAGTAGAGTCCATATTATAAATGATCATTATTTACTGTGTGCAAAATTTCATGGCCATGGACAGCCATTCAGTTACAGGAATAATGGCTATACCGTACTATCTCAGTGCTTTCATTCATAAAAGTTGGCCGTGGGCAAAAACTATTTAACAAAGTAAGGGGATGCATTGCCTTATATAGATTATATAGAATATACCGGTATAATGGACGCGGTAGATTTGGTAAACAGAAAAACCATATAATATATTAATAGATTATATTAAATTTACTGATATACATATTGCCATTGCTTTGTGAGATAAGCTACAATTTATCTTTAATTGTTTAACATTATTAAAAAAAATTTTTAATACTTATACAGCATTAGTTCTGAAAATAACAATATATAAAATTATCATTAAAATGAAACTTATATAGCTTGTGATGTGAACAGCGGTATTGGGTCACAGAATGTGCAGATGCGGTCCATGTTAATAGTTAAAAAAGGACAAACCAAGTTGTACTTTAAAAATTCATAACTTTAAAACTACAACAACAACTAAAAATATGATTTTGGTGTTATAATTAATATAATTCTGTTAAAAAATTAGCTCTATTTAACTATGCCATTGGTTTATTTTTACAAAAACATTAAATTTTTTATCGAAGTACCTATCACTGAGTAAGTTAATAAGTTAAGTAAGTAATTAGTAAAACATAGTGAATAGTGCATTCAATTATCTTTCTTTTGATACCAAATTGTGTCGTACAAACCCAACAATAATACTTTAAGTTGTGGACTTACTAAATACTAAGTCAGTCTAACTAAGTGAAAGTGAAGTAAGATAAGCAAGCTTAGCAAGGCTAATTCTCCGCCGAAGCAAGAGACACTCCTAGAAACTTTGTATCGGAAATGGGCGTCGGCGTAATGGAATCCGAGTTTTTAATTTTTTCATGTGCATGTAATTTGAATAAATTATGAGTCCTTTTGGCCCATAATTAAGGTTTGAATCCGCCTATTGACAATAGGAGAAATATTGAACTACATTCCCATTGAGTTAATTTGTTCTTTACCTCAACTTTAAGTTTAAGTGAGGAAAATCGTATGTCAAAATAAGGCAACTTCGCATTAAAAAATTCGGTCTAAATATTCAAAGTAGGTCTTTCATATTAAAAGTAGGGCTGCATAATTTGTTATTGATGCACATGTGCAAAATTTCATTGGGATAGCTCATGAAATATTTTCACAATTCTCTTCAACGTTGACCTCATTAAGCAAAGGTCGCAGAGGCCATATTGGATTAGAGATCCCGCCCCCTTTAAAATGGCGGAAAATGCCGATACTTAGCTTAGGAAATATTCATTATTACCTCTATATACATCAAAATATTTGATAACTTGTGTTTCAGAATGCATTTTGAAGACATTTAAACTAGAATGTTTAAATTTGAGCTTTAAAAACTCGGTAGAGTCCATATTATTAACGATCAGAATTGACTGTGTGCAAAACGTCATGGGAAACCATTCTCAGCCATTTGCATAATGCTATGCCGTAGTACTACCTCAAGTTTCATTCATAAGTGTTTGCCATGTGCAAAAACTATTAACACCATTGGTCAGGGAAAGCTTTAGTTAATTAGTCATGTGCCAAAGTTGAAAGTTCAAAATAAGTAGATCCCATACAATATTTTAGGGGGTGCGTTGCCTTATATAAACTACATAGCTATACCGTATAATGGACGCTGTAGATTTTGTAGCCATACGCTATTTTAAATTTATTGTTATACATAGTGCACAGTTAGATAAACTATGAATACTATAATTTATATATAATTTTATAACATTATTAAAATTAATTAGTTCTGAAAATAAAAGTCGTATAAAATTATCATTAAACCGAGGTTTGTATATATAGCTCGTGACGCGAACAGCGGCATTGGGTCACAGAATGTGGGGGTGCAGTCCATGTTAAAAAATGAAAAACTAAGTCATACTTTAAAAATTCATAACTTTAAAACTACAATAGCTAAAAGTATGATTTTGGTGTTAGTGTTATAATTTTGTTAAAAATTAGCTCTATTCAACTATGCCTATGCCATTGGCATCATTGGTTTATTTTTATACAAAGTTTTAATTTTCTTATCAAAGTACCTACTATTAGTATTAGTATTAGTTTAGCCGTTTAGCAAGGAGACTGGAGAGCCAGCTAGGCATAATGATTAATGTTATTTAATATGTATTGCATTTACAACGATAAAACATTAGATTAAGCTGATAATACATACATTTCTTGTAAATATTTTACTGCATTGAGGTTGGCAATTAATCAAATGAGTTAAACATTCCGATGTGTTGAAACAAAGGACAACTCTTATAGACGCCGCCATTTTGAAGGTTTCTACAAAAAGCTGAATCTAACATCTGAAATAACAAAGCATTATTAGAAAACATTAAATATAAAATAAAATAATTGGTACAGATAATTATTGATTTGGTTAATTTTATGTAAATAATGTCATAATAACTATTCGCACCTGGAGTGGCTCCATATAGATTAAATGGCTTCGGAGCCGGGTGTGATAACAATAATAGGATGAGAATTTTTTTTTTTTTAATTGTTTTTTCTCCTTGTTATTTCACAGATTCATAGTTTTATTCTTTTTAGGTGTTTTTTATTTTATTTTTGCTTTTTACTTTTGCTTAGTACCAGTAGATTTTTTTCTTCTTTCTAATTTTCTTTTTTAGTTTAAGCCATTTTCGTAGATCAATTTTAAAAAAAAAATCTAGTAATGAAGATGATTTAGATACATTTATGGTTTTCATTTGAATTTAAGAAAAGTAATAATATTAATTTAAAATTTAATTAGTAAAATTAAATCTTTTATTTTAGATTATTTATGTGTATTGTTTAAGTTAAAAGATTTAATCACACAGTCACACTGTACTTTATGAATTAATTAGGCATTCTAAATAATGAAAATTTCATTTATAATGAATTAATTTCAACTAGAGAGCTTGGCTTAGTCAGAACAAAACCACCAATTTTAAAATTTTTCCTTGGCACTGGGAGTCATAAATGAGGACACTGACTGTTTTGCCTGATATCTCGAATCTGCTTTCAACAAACTTTCTCATTTTACTTGACCTAAATCACAAGGTAGGTACCAATAGATGCAGCCTTTTTTTTCTTTTTAAATACTTTTTTTTTTTAAATTTGAAAGTTATTCCCATTTGTTTCCTGCGACGGTGTTACAAATTGGCCTGGAACGAAATTAATATTTTAAATGCGAATCACAAATTATATTTTTTAAAGGTAGATTACTCTCGTAAACTAATTTTTAAATATTTTTAAAAAATCACAAATGGAGGTTTACAATGTTCCAGTTTGAGCTAAATTAAAATTAAAAAAAAAAAATATTCCAGGACTCAGATTTAACCCTTATAATTATAAGGCTTAAAGCACTAAAATAACGGATTACCAGGCCTAAATTGTTTTAATTATTTCTTTACGCAAAAGTGATTTTTAAGATACATTTTTAATAATTCTAGAAGTTCTAAAGCTAGTCCAGTTGCCCACACTGCCATGCCATGCCATGCCATATGATACTAACATAATCACTATCACTGATAGTACCTCCTAGTGACCTACGCCAAGTGACAGTAGTTAAAGTAGTGGAGAATACTGAATAGGTAGGCATAAATACAATACTATAAATTTAAAATTTATTATACTACTAAATCAATGTATCAAATGAATTTTTAATATTTTGAAAGAAAGAAATATTAATTTAGGTCACCAATAAAAAAATAAACCCATGCCAATGGTCAATGGCATAGTTGAATAGACCTAATTTTTTAAAGAATTATAACACCAAAATCATATTTTTAGCTGTTGTAGTTTTAAAGTTATGAATTTTTAAAGTACGAACTCGTTTGTCATTTTTAAACATGGACTGCATCTCCACCAGGGGTGCCACTTTTCCGGGTTATCCCGGAATTCCGGATTCGTGAGGCTAAATATTTTTCAGTTCCGGATTCGCGAGTTTTTATGTTCTCTCTTTCCGGATTCGTCAGTTCAATTTATTCTAATACGGATTCTGTCTGGGTTTTTTTTTTTTAAAGAATCAACGTGCAACAGAATTCGCGAAAAACCAGGAAAATTCCTTGAAAATAGACGTTAATCGCCGATCTCGTCTATTTTTAGCCTTTCTGTTGCCAGAGAGCTAGTGGTTTTCCCTTGCGCATGCGGTTTACACTACGCGTTTCGAGTACCGTACTACTTCGATAGACCAGAAATATTTATTTTCTGTTCACGTCGCCGATCAAGAGATATTTGAAGTGTTTGGGTAAGCAAAGTGTAAAATTTAGTAAATATCTTTTTAATTTAGTTTTTAATTGTTGGGTAACCATTATCATAAAAAGAAAACTACTCGCCCGAGCGCTGTCTAACAAGACTAAGCTTAGCGTACTTTGTTATGCAGCTTTACTGTATGCAGGCGACTTGTATTTTTATGAGAAGAGCTAGGCGGCGTTTAACCTTTGTTTAAAGACTTCTTAAGTTCACTTGACATTTAATTACGGAGTAAGCCTTCTCATTTTAAATAGGCTAATATGATTAAGTTATTTTTATCCGTTCTGTAATGAGCCTGACTGTATTTAGTTAGTTTGTATTTATTAGTTATGCACTCCCGTGTTCTGACTCTGGGTATACTTTACGGTAATTTGTAATTCTACTACTACTATTACTAGTATTCATAATGCTTTGTATTACCGTAGCAGTAGTGCCGTAGTTAAATACTGGTGTAATATAGTCGATATTATTATTATGTATGCCTTACTATAAACTATAAATCTAATATGATAATATATTTTATTTTGTTTCACTATGCAGGATCTAGGCTCAATAAAAATATGTAATGCCCAACAGTTAACAGTTCCTTTAACTTTAAAGAACTGATGGGCATTACAGTTATAGTAAAGCAATTGACAATCATGATTGAATAAGCCATCAATGAATACTATGCTGGAAATATTGATATCAAGTATTCAAGGGGAAAATGTCTGAGTCAATCATCTGATGATACCAGCTTTATCACCCATCTTAGGTGTCCACTTTTGTAACTTCTCAATTTATGAAATTTATGTGTCAAACTATGAAACTCTCACACTTGGGAGATAGTATAGACGCTAAAGTGTGTTGATTCAAACTATCCATTTTCATCATAAAGAGGACAACATTAACTCCATATATAAAAATATACTTTCCACTTGTGGTAGCTATACGTTTGTTCTAAAATGCCCAGATAACTCATTGCAAAAGTTGACTTTTCAAGTCTAAGTAAATTGAAAAATTGCTATTGCTGTAAATTTAATAAATACTAAACTAATAAATGTTTACATGTATACACCTTAATTGCTTAATGTTGTTCATTTGTGATGTATCTCAATGTTTTATTTGATAATTTCATGCTTGTTTTTATAATAATCAACAAAATGCCGTATTGCGATAATCAAGAATTTTGAGTTTCATTATGTTTCAGGGATTGAAAATTTGTAAATGAAGTTTCAGGTTTCAAGAAATTTTTAGAAAGTGATTTCAGGGTTCACAGCTTTCAGTGAGTGGCACCCCTGATCTCCAAATTCTGTGACCCAATTCCGCTGTTCGCGTCATGGTATATGCTATAAAGTCTATATAAGGCAATGCACCCCCTAAAATGTTGTTTGGGATCTACTTATTTTGAACATTGGCACATAACTAATTAACTTAAAGTTAAAGCTTTCCCTGACCAATGGTATTAATAGTTTTTGCACACGGCAAACTCTTAAGAATGAAACTTGAGGTAGTACAACAGCTTAACATTATGCAAATGGCTGTACTGTGAATGGTTGCCCATGACTTTTTGCACACGGTCAATTCTGATCGTTAATAATATGGACTCTGCCGGGTTTTTAAAGCTCAAATGTAAACATTCTAGTTTAAATGTCTTCAAAATGCATACTGAAACACGAGTTTTCAAATATTTTGATGTATATAGACATAGAGGTAATAAGGAATATTTCCTAAGCTAAGTATCAGCGTTTTCCGCCATTTAAAAGGGGGCGGGGTCACTAATCCAAAATGGCCTCTGCGACCTTTGCTTAATGAGATCAACGTTGAGGAGAATTGTGAAAATGTTTATTGAGTTATCTCAATTAAATTTTGCCCACATGTACTTCAACATATTATGCAGGCCTACTTTTAATATGAAAGACCTACATTGAATATTTATACAAAAATTTTTAATGCGAAGATGCCTTATATTGACATACGATTTTCCTTACTTAACGTTGATATAAAGTATAAAGAAATAATTAACTCAATGGGAATGTAGTTCAACATTTCTCCTAAGGTTAATGGACGGAGTCAGACCTTAACTATGGGCCGAAAGGACTCCTAATTTATTCAAATTACATGCACATGAAAAATTAAAAACTTGGATTCTATTGCGCCGACGCCCATTTCCGATACAAATTTACTAGGAGTGTTCCTTGCTTCATTGGAGTATCCAAATAATATTTTCAATGGATTGTTTTTTTTAAATATTTATTTTCCATGTCCATATATTTATGGTTGCGGCTGCTATTCGTACCTGGTACCAGAAGTGAGAGGTTGGGATTAAAAAAACTATTTTAAATATTATTCTTGGGTTTATAAGACAAAATAAAGTATCAAATGAAAGATAATTGAATGGACTATACTAGATGTTTGTAAACTTACTTCTACAGTTTAACTAAAATTAAAATAAACTACCAAACGACATCCGAATAGCATTGGTGATTTGGTCTAATGGGACAAGGGTGCGAATGGGGGCACTGCGTGTCCAGGGCCATTTTGACTAAATGCTATCGCGATTCGGATTACCAAATAATTGCAGTTTAATATAGTATTGTATAGGCCTATTTACTATGTATTATTAAGTAATTAAGTGTATAAATAGTATAAAAGTATCTATTGTAATTATGAAAAGAATATATTATTTTATAAACTGAAAGAATATTATTATTAACCCCCTGGACCTTGAGGATAGGCCTATCTATCAGCCCAGGGTGGAGTGGCCAAATAGGCGAATGGCCAGTCATCGGCCAAATGTGAGATTAGCTGGTTCTACTTGGTACCAACTATTCCTGCACATAATATAAATATGCCTCAAGACAAAAGCAACCCCATTTGAGTACTTTATGCTATTTTTTACACTAAATATCACTCAAATGTTTATGAGAGAGACCAATGTGTATGCAGACAACTTTCTCACTAACACCTAGTTTAGGAGAAGTTCCCTAGGTCATTAATGTAGGCACGACAATAACCTTTTGCGCACGACGTCAGCGCATATCCAAAAATAACACAACAACTTGTATGGCAATATAAATATAATATATGGCATAGCCAGAGTGTCGTTTTTCTGCATTCTACTTATTAGTTTTCTAATAACAGTACTTAAATTATCGGTGACGTAGACATGGGGATACCATATTTGCGGCATTTAAATTTATGTGACTGGTAAAGCATTTAATTTCTTTACATCAGCATGTCCATTAATTGCTTATTATTTTTTAATTTCAAATTCAAACACATAGTGGTTTAGCTCAATGATGCCTCATTCATTCACAAAGGTTAATAACTTTTCTTCATTAATAATAGCATAGCACTAACGAACAAAAGTTAGGCCTTTCGGACTGGGGGGTGTAAGAAAATGAAATTGTTAGTAGACACCCAAGTCACACACCACCCCCCATCCACCCACCCACGCCCTCCCTCACCCAAAAAAAAATTGGTTTGTCAGAAATGTTTCTTGTTACCAAATTTAATTTAAAGATATTTTTATAATAGTTCATCTTTAATAATCCATGGAAGACTTCACAGTTAATAAAGAGTAAACCGTTTTACAATAAATATTAGAGATTAATACAACCTAATAAATTAAATAATTTTACATAATTGTAGTTCGTGTAGTCCGGTGAATTTCGGACTTGTTTTGTCCCTGGATTTATAAATATAATTATATGTATAGGGCTAGTAATTAGTGGTATTTTTAAATTATAATTAATCGAATAATTACACAATAAATAAAAAGCAGTTGCTACTACTATTAAAAATATCCTATTATCAATTATAATTCCAATAAAATATGGTTATGCATTCTGGTACACTAAAATTCTAAAATTAAACTTTTTGTTTAAACATATTTTTGGAAAATTGCTTCACTGTGTCTTTTTTAAAATTAGATAATATATGAATTAGTCCTTAACAAGTTTCTTAAAATAGATAAATAAGACTCAGCATCATCGTAGTAATTATATTTTTACTAGGGCTATCAGAAAACTGTAAACATTTATATCAACAAATATTTGATATATTTCTAATTAAATAAACAAAACAAAAAGAAATACAATTTTAATAAACACAACACTTGAATAATATTAAAAATAGTATAAAAATTGTATAGGTGCAGAGTTATGATTAGTTGTTAATGTTAGGCTTCTTTTCGGTGCAAGAGAAAATTTTAACTTTCTGTTACAAAACTTGGAATTCCTTCCATATCTTATAACAAAACGTTTGGCTGCAGATGGCGGCGACAAAGTTTATGAAGGAGAGATTTTTGGGATTCATCAACTAGACAAAGAAGTCTGTAAGGCATTCTTCCCGGGAAATGACAGGCAGAAGATCCCCATTAACTTTTAAATTTTAATGACATACTTGATATGCTTATATTAGTTCTATGGGTGATATCACTATTAGTAGTTGTTATTTATAATAATAATAATAAAGTTTATTTCAAAAACACGCTTCATCCCCAAAGGCTCGAAGCGCGGTACAAAGTCAGCAAAAAACAAATCTATAATTTACCACATTTAAAACAAATGCAACACTACAAAAACTAATTACAAGCATACAATGTCAAAGTCTTTCTAAACATTTCAACCATAAGCAACACATCCAATATGCATTAACTTTCATTAACTGGAAAATAAGGTATGCATTCAATTTTATTTAAAAAAAGACTTCTACTTACCTTTTAACTTTTATAAATAGAAGAATTGATTTAAAATTTAACAGTACAGAAGAATATAATTCATTAAAATATAAATAAACTTTTTCTTTGTTGTTTTTTCTTTAAAAAATCATTTTTCTGTTATGTTATTTCTAACAAACCCTAAAATAAAATTATCCAAATTACAAAGACTTAAACTGTTATGTGACAGTTTTGTTGTTCATTTTGATGGCACTATCTTTTAAAATAAAAAATTGTGGACAAAATAAGGCAGAAATGTGTAAACTCTGTCAATAGTTTTTCCGTTAAATACAAAGATAAAATTGGGGGGGGGGGGGTGTTAGAAAATTCATCGAAAAAAATTCATCACTTCATTTCTATAAAAGATAGAAAGATGAAATTGGTGATTTTCCAAAGCTTACAGCTAGCCCTTTAAAATGATGTAACATTTGTGGCAACTGGACAATATTCAAATTATTTTTCAAGGTACCTACATTAATGGGGTCCTGTTATAGTGAGTGCCTCTAGCAAATCTTCCCAGATTTCTCTCTGAATCCCTCATGCTCCACACCAACGGCCATTCAAAGTTTTCATCCGCCAAAATTTTCAACTCCTATGGGCTGCAGTCAACAAGACAAATGGAGACACAGACCATTGTGCAAGATTTAAGAGAGTAGAGATAGAAAACCTGATCAACAGCCTAAAACCAGGCAAACAAGACCCTGGGGTTCATAAGGCGTAATCTAAAGATAGATGTAAAGAAAGACCCTATAACTATAAGCCTTTGTCCGTCCGCTTTTAGGTTATGCATCTTCAGTCTGGGACCCATTTACCCAGAACAGCATTTACAGGTTGGAGGCGGGTCACCGACAAGCAGCACCCTTTGTCCTGAACCGCTACAGGAACACCTCTAGCCCCCCGAAAATTTCTGCAGGCACCCATGCTTACACTATAGCTTCTTTGGTACAATTATTCCAATAGGCCTAATAAAAAGTTTAAAAAAGGCTGATTACCTTACAATTAATTAGCGCAACCCTAATGTAATATAAGGTCCTAGATCAAATATCAATTAGAGTTGATATGATGTCAATACCGGCACCGGTATGTTATTTTACAGTTACCTTAAAAAAATTATTTCTTCATGCTTATATTAAGTCTAATATTCCAGGTAATTAAGTTAGAAAGTGCAGGCTTTAGGCAACTATCAGTTTCATTGCAGAGAGAAGTTTCTTGTTTTGGTCTCAAAATCTAACCTAAATGAACAGTAAATACATTTATTATGATTTAGTATTTTAATAACTTTTCATACAGAGTATTAATGTAATTAGAGAAGGTATAACTACAAGTGATATAACCATACCGGTAGTCAGAAAATTTGTGTATAGGTAATAAAAAAAGTGTTTTTCAAATGCATATTTTTTATTTAAAATTATTAACTGGTAATATTTTATATTTTTCAGATGTTTTGAATTGGTCCAGCCTGCTGATGGTGTTTTATAGCTTCATGTAGACAGAACAAATGCCTGCATACAGATCAGATTTCCAAGCTTTCACAGTTTGTTTGTTTTAAGCTCTTGGCAATGGAGAAAGATAATTTTAAATTTATTCCCAGCCTAATCATAAAGGATCAAGATATTATACCAAAGACAGAGACTGACTTTACCAAACAACTAAAGAAAGAAATTTATAACCCAGAGCAAGATACCGGTACATATTCTGACTGTTTGGTCAATGCAAAAATTAAACTGGAGGTAGGATTGTGCAGAATTCAGATGTCTGAAACAAGTTCAAAAGTAACAGTTCCTGCTGAATGTGTTTCAACAAATTTGTCAGAAAAGTTAACAGAAGATCAATTGACCAGCTGTCAAAAGACATTTTCCTCAACTTCATGTAGGAAACAAGAGAAAACACTAACTCAGCAACATGATGAGAATATAATTTCTTCATCAAACCTGGAACCTGGACAATCACATGAAGCTGTTTATAAAGGGCTGGATACTAGGAGAAGAAAATATAAATGTGTCACTTGTAATGCAGCTTTTGATGACATCTTGCATCTTGTGTCCAAAAAATCTTGTGATAAAACAATGACTTATAATTGTAAAATATGTTACACAGCTTTTGCTAAAAATCACAAGTTAGCTAACCACAAGAGACAAAATCCTGGAGGGAAAATCTATAAATGTAACATTTGTTCTGTTATATTTACTAGTAAATCTTATTTAATAAAGCATAAAAGTAGACATACTAGAGAGAAACCCTTCAAATGCAATATCTGCCATGCTGCTTTTGGTCAAAGTACAACTTTAACTGTACACAAGAGAACACATACTGGAGAGAAACCATATAAATGTGACATGTGTTCTGCTACATTTGCTAGTCGATCTGCATTAGCTTTACACACAAGAGCACATACAGGAGAGAAACCCTACAAATGTGACATGTGTTCTGCTACATTTGCTAGTCGATCTGTAATAGTTGTACACACAAGAACACATACTGGAGAGAAACCCTATAAATGTGACATTTGTTCTGCTACATTTGCTAGTCGATCTGCATTAGCTGTACACACAAGAGCACATACTGGAGAGAAACCCTATAAATGTGACATTTGTACTGCTGCTTTTGCTTACTGTGCATATTTACCTGAACACAAGAGGTCACATACTGGAGAGAAACCCTACAAATGTGACATTTGTACTGCTGCATTTGGTTACAAAACAAATTTAACTGTGCATAAAAGAACACATACCGGTACTAGAAAGACACGCTATAAATGTGAAACTTGTTCTGCTACATTTGCTAGTAGATATTATTTAACTATACACAAAAGAAGACATACTGGAGATAACCCCTACAAATGTGACATTTGTTCTGC